TACTACTACTACTACTACTACTACTACTACTACTACTACGATTAGGACTACTTCTACGACTACTACTACTACTACTACTACTACTACTACTACTACTACGACTATTACTACTACTACTACTACTACTACTAGTTTTATTTCTACTGTTACTGTATTATTAATATCACTCCCACTACTCCTACCACTACTATTACTACTACTACTACTACTACTACTACTACTACTACTACTACTACTACTACTACTACTACTAGTACCACTAGCCGGAGAGGACCCGCGCAAACAGGATTGCCCAGGCCGCACCGTCGCAGGTCGCCCCCCTGGGAGCAGAGCGCATGGAGTCCTGAAGTTCGTCTTCCGTGCTGCCTGCCTGTCAGCCTTCAGGGGGTACCCCTACTGTTGTCAGCCAGCGTTGCCTCTTGCCTGCCGCCAGTGCCGCGTCCGGATGATCTTGCAGTCCCAGACTGTCTTCATTGAGCTCGTTTTACTCTCTGGCGGAAGAGAGGCCTCCGACCCATTTTAAGAAGTCCTGGTGCCCAGACGAAGGACAGATCGGTTCGGTCGCAATGGTCGTCGCTGCTTGCTCGTGCCGGCGCGGTTGCGTCGCCGTCCTCGTCGTGTCAGCTGGGCCCCAGGCCAGGCGGGACTTTTTCCAGAGCTGCCTGCGATCTCTCTCGGCCTTCCCTCCTCTATCCAGCTGTGCAGCTTGGAGGAGCAGGAGAAGGCAAGATTGCCCCTTCTGTCACTGTGGTTCAGCTTCTTTTGGCAGATGTGGATGATAGGTTCGACTCCCTTCTCCATGGGCGAGGGCTGCATGTCTCTGGGCAGGATGAGCTTGGAAAGGAGGAGATGTTGGCACGCCCTCCTCCGCCAATTCGCCAGCCTGCCTGTCCCCGCCTTTTGCCACAATGTCTCGAGTTTAGGTTTCAGAACGCGGGTGTCGGCGCAGCCGCGCATCCGCAGCTTGCACAGACTAGATCCTCTTCCAAGCTGGCTTGTGACAGGGATGGAGGAGTGAGACCTGATCATAGCAGCGTTGAGCTTTTTATCAAGACTATCAGCTGCAACATCTGGGGCACTATGCGAGTCCTTCTGGAGATCGCATCGCGCGCCCACGTCGTTCTTTGTTAGGGGCACCGCTTGAGAGGGGAAGACGCGTTGGCGGCTAACTCGCCGCGCATCAAGCGGAGCTGGAAGTCCCTCTGGTCTGATGCGGAGAAGACCGAGGCGGACACATCGGCTGGAGTTGTGATCTTCGCCATGGATTGGATTGGCCTTCGGGTGCTGCAGGGTGGGGAGATTGTCCCAAATAGATGCCTTGCGGGGTCCATCCATCTTCTAGGTGCCTCTCCCATCTCTGTCGCGTCATCCTATCTCTACCACAATGAAGAACTTTCAGATCGCAACCTTGGCATTCTGTCTCGGCTTTGCACGCGCCCATCCAGTCGTGAGTTACCTTGCGCGGCTGGAAGGGGCCGCAATTTTGAGCCCCCGCCCCATGGAGATTCGGATTTGGTCAAAGAGCTGAGGGGAGTTCTCGCGGCCCTGCCTCGTGCATTCTTTCCCCTGCGGGGAAGCCTTCCGTCTTTGAATGCTTCGTTTGATCGGGGGGGGCTGGCCGGAGGGGTGAGAGTGCGCGGCTGATTTCTCGACGACCCCTCATGGGCCTGTTGACTTGACTTTCTACCCTCAGCTTGCCGTTTTGCAAGCGTCGGCGTTTCGCCGACCTCCCCCGCTTCCAGCGGCAGTGGAGGCGGTCATCGGCCCCCGCCCATGTGGATCCTCGTGGGCTCGAGAGCTTGACCTTGCCAGGGTGGGCCTGGACAAGGTGGCCAATCGTGGTTTCTGGGGGGCCCGCAAGCTCTCGGGTCCGTTGTATCAGGCTTGGGCGGTCCGAGTCGAGTCCGACCATGCGCCGATTCTGGGGGCCGAGCTGCCCAGGAGGGCAGCAGGGGGTCGGGGCCTCAGCTGGTCTGGCGCTCACTGCTCACTGCTGACGGCCGCTGCAAGTATCCTGAGCATCGTGCTATACGTTGGCTGGCGGCTCAGTGGCATGCCTTAGTTCTTGCTCGCCGTGCGGGCGACCGCCCGTTGTCGGACAAGCTAGGTCTCTTGCTGTGCCAGCCGCCGATGCGCATCGCGCAGCACGCGGGAGCCATGTCCCACCTTCCCCCCCCCCCCCCCCCCCCCCCCCCCCCCCCCGAGCTGCTCGCATTGTTGGCGCCTCTAATCAGTCGATCGACGATGTAGTTGCTTTCGAGCATGAAGTCCAAGAGGAGCTCGAGGCCGCCAACAAGTTCTTCGCCAATCATTCGCGCATGGACTGGCCCGCCTGGCCGCGCGTTGGCATTGCTTCGGGCTCGAAACGGGCCCATCAGATCGCCGGGGGCCCCACCCCCGGGGCCCCGACCACCGCGCTTAGTGCCAAAGGGGGTGCTGTTGCCGATCCCCGCTCGCTGCTGAGGGCTGAAAGTGCTCGGCCCAGTGCGGCGTGGGGTCAGGGATTAGGGGCAGCGCCCTCTGGTCAGATCCTGGAGCCCCTCCCCCGTCTCAGTGTGGATGACATCCGATCAGCCTCCAATCAGCATGGGCCTGATTCCGCGGCGCCCCTGGATGGGTTCCGCCGTCGCCATTTTTCGCTCCTGGGAGATGCAGCACTTGAGCGTCTTAGCATGGACTTCGCTCTCATCGAAATGGTGGGGCGCCTGCCGCCCCAGATTTCTGCCGCGCGCCTCGACCTCCTCTCGAAGCCAGCTGGCGGCTGCAGGCCGACCAGGGCGTTCTGCTCATGCACGGGGCCCGGGGTCGCCTTAGACGGCCCCTGGCCCTGCGCTGGGGCCAGCAGGACCTCGGGAGGCACTGGGCTGCTGGCAGGCGTCGAGGCGCGGCTGATGTTGTTGGGGGACAGGCTGTCCTGTCGGAAGCTGGTGTCAAGAGGGGGGGGCGCGTCGCGCAGTGTCTTCTTTGATGTGAGGGAGTTTTACGCGCGCGCATCTCTTCGTCTGCCTTGCAAGAGATATGCGTTCGACGCAAGTTTCCGCCGGCCATCGCTCGAGTTGCTCTCTTCGCCTATTGTTGCGGGCGTTTCCTGAGCCGGGGCGGCATCGTTGGAGGCCCCTTTTGTCCGCTTTGAGTGGGGCGGTGGCGGGGCGCAGCTTCGCCGCCGCGTTATCCGGGCTCGCGGAATGGAGGGCTACGACAGCATCATTCGCCAGCCCATCCGTGAACTTGACGTCTACATCGACGATCTCGGCCATTCCAGTGCTGGCCCCCCCCCCCCATCGAAAGTCGTTGCCTCTGTTGCGAGCTGCGCGCGGCAGTTGAAGGGCGCGGTGGAATATGTCTCGGGTTGTAGCTTCGCCACGGGCAGGACCTGCATCGTTGTCTTGTCTCGATCCGCGGGCGAGCAGGTGTCGTCCCAGTTGGCCGAGCTCTCGACCCATCCCGTTTCTTCGGCTGTCAACCTAGGCGTGGACTTCACGGCTGGTCGGGCGGTCAAGACAGGAGGCCAGTGTGCCAAGCTCAAGTCTAGGCTCACAGCCGCCCGCAGGCGCAGAAAGCGCTTGCGCAGACAGAATATGGTGCTCAAGAGAAGCGCCATCATCAAGGTTTTCTCTGCGGGCCCTCTTGCTGGCGCGAGTTACGGGAGTGAGATCATTGGGGCCTCAGAATACGACCTCCCCCCATTCGTCGAAAGCTCGTCGGCACTGTTCGACCGTTTTCGAGGCTTCGTTCGCTCGCCGCGTCGGCGATTCTCGAATCCGATCCGTGTTGGACGACCGCCTACTCGCCCATCCAATGTCCTCGTGGGCAGCAACCTTCTGCGCAGGAAGGAGAGACGAGGAAGTGGAGTCGCACTGGGGGTAGGCCCCAGCATGCACGCGCTTGCCCGAAAAGGTGCGCATCTTGTGGCAGGCTGGCAAGCTCGACAACATTGTTACAGTCCGACCAAGCGCGCGTGCGTCCTGGGGCGCTGAGCATGTGGGCCCACGCGTAGGCCGAGAACTCCGCACTCTGAGGGGTCTGGGGGTAAGGGGCCCAGACAGGAGCTCTGAACTCCGCGACGCACCTACCAGCACTGCCAACCGTCGCGACACACGACGCACCTCTGCTTAATTCACGAATGAAATGTCTCGTGCACGAGCCGTCTATGAAGAGGTCCCCCCAGAGCTGCCTGTCCAGGGGGCCTCCAAGGGGGAGGGGCCGACCGGCGTCGTGCCACGCGGCGACAGGACCATCATCCCCATCAGCCGAGGGCCTCGGGCCAATGCCGGCGGGATGGGCGACGGCCCCCGAGGTGAAGGGGGGAGGGGAAGCGACGCGCGGCCACCTCCTCCAACCTCGAGCGCCGCCGCAATTTCCTCCGGCACGACCAAAGAACTGCGTGGATAAGACAAAACGCATTCCGCCTGACACTACCAATACCCGCGACACATGTTGTCTGGCTGCCCGCGTGGCAGCCTACATCCATCTGGTGGCCCAGCTGGAGCGCGCGCTCCTTAGTGAGAAATGCTTCGGTGGCGAAAGCTCGGATCCCCCCTTTCTCAGGGGCACTGAACCTCTTGCTCGACAGGGCTTCCTCGACAAGATCGTAGCACAGACGGTGATGGACCCCCCTCTTGCCAGCAGAAGCCCTTTCTAACATGCGCAAGTCGGCCTCCTTGCAAAGTTTCTAAACGAGGGCGGCGGAGAACCAACCAAGGGGAATGTCAAAGCCCCATGTCGTCCCTGATGGTCATGAAATCCGACGTCGCCCAGCCAACCCTGGAAAGCGACGTGAGCAGGGCGGTGAGAGTGCCAGCCACGCTGCGCCACGAATAAGAGACCTAGCCAAACACATCCGCCGAGGCACGCCTGCGCTCAGGAAGACCAGTAAGTATACCATGGGAACGCTCCAGACTGGGCGAGCCAAATCTCTTTCGACTCATCTCCAGTGAAGAGAGATGGCGCAGGCAGGGCAACTACGGGGCGGACGTATGTGCAAAGCGCGCCATCGCATTGCACGCCAGTTCGGCTGCTGCCAGTGCGGCTACGGACCAACTTATCAGAGCGGCCCGCTGTCTTTTGCGTCTCGCGGCCCGCCTCCTGCCACTGTGGGGCCCCATCGACCTGTCAGTGGTCGTGCTGATCAAAGCCCCCATCTGCTGCCTCAGTTCCGTTGCCACATGCTTGGGGACCGCGGTCTGGAGCGCGGAGGTGTGGGGTGCGTTCGAGGGGCACCAGAGCCTTGATTGAGCCTTCTCCTGCTTCGTGTAGTGGCCGCAGCAAGTTGGACGAGGGTCGCCGTGCGGCTCTTGAGCATCGCGCTATCGCTTTCGATTGTTCCGGCCGCATTGTTTTATTTTTTTTGCGCGCGTTGCTATTGATACTCTTCGGGGCAGAGGGTTCGAGGCTCATCGGTAAAATGCGTTGGCCAGCCGACGAGAACCACTCGGTCTGGCTGGAACACTTTGCGCAACAGGGGCCCCCACCCACAGTGCAGCAAGCGTGAGGCGAGGGCCCGCGCAGGCAACACCTCGAGCCTTCTCTCCCTGGACGGTGTCCAAGTCGAGCAGCAGGACGTGGAGTTGGAGGTGGAGGTGGCGGATGCTCGTGAGAGGCGCCAGGCCGTGCTGGCCCAGCGCCTGCTCGCTGCTGCCCAGGCTGGCCCGTCTTCCTGCCCGCTTTAGGGGGCTTGGCTTAACACGGCGGACTGAGCGTGGAGCTCGATGTCTTGGGCTCACCTGGTGGGTTCGATCTGGGGTTTTGTGTCGTCCTGTTTGACGGTGCTGGTTACGCTGCCACCCCTTGAACTCGGGCCTTGGAGTTCCGTCGAGCAGGCGTTGCTAGCCGTCCTTTTCACTGTCTAGTGCTGCCCTCGTCCCCCCTGTTGCACGGCCGCGGGTGGTGTCTCCCTCGCGGTGGCCGCTGCTCAAGGGGTCGTTTTTCCTGTCAGAGTGCGCGCCAGGGCACGGGGGGGGTGGGGGGGGCAATTTGTCCTCCCTGACCGTTCGCCCTGCGTTGCGTTGTAGCGTTTAGCTTTGTCTTGGCGTGCATTGGGCTCGCGTTGCAGGGTCGATATGGTTTTTGTTCGCTGCGTTCTGCTCGGCGGTGCTGGTTACGCAGCCAGCCCTGGAACTCGGGCTTCGGGGCTTCGTCGTGCAGGCGCCGCTGGCCGTCCTTTTCACTGCCCAGTGCTGTCCTCGTTCTCCTTCGCACGGCCGTGGGGTGATGTCTCCCCTGCGGTGGCCGCTGCTCAGGGGCCGCCGACCTTTTTTGTATAGTTTGCGCGTCAGGCCACGGGGAGGAACTTGCCCTCCCCGACCGTTTGCCCTGCTGCGCCTTTCAGCCCTCTTGAGGGCCTTTCGGCTCAGCAGGCCGCCCTTTTTTGGCCCTGGTGCTTGCCGAGGCGGGTTTTTGTTCCGCCTGCAGGCTCTCTCCCCCCGCCGTGGGGGGCCTGGCTAAACGTGGCGGACAGAGCGTGGCGCTCGAAAAAAACCTTCATCATCGCCACCATAAGCATCAGTGATCCTTACCCCCTCGATGATAAGCGGCGGCCGCCGCCGGGGCATACTGTTTTTCCCATTATTCTTGTAGCAGTGAGCCCGCGCAGCAAATAACGTAGCGCCCCGCAGATGCGGATAAGAATGAGGGGGCGGTGGGGACGTCGGCAGTTTGCGAGATTCTGGAGAAGCCCACCGCAGGCGCCAACGTTCCACACATTATACAACGAACCCGCCGCAGGCGCCGATTTGTTAACCAAAGTGGGTCGGTCGCGGGTGGATCGCGGGTGGGTTGCGAATGGGTCCCGGGTGGGACGCGGGTGGGTCGCGCGTGGGTCGTTGTTGGGTCGCCGGTGTAAGGGGGCAGAAAATCCACCCCAATATAGCAAACGCACACAAGGAAACGAATCGAACAGGGCAGGGAATTTTAGTCAACGCCCAGGGCCGTTTTAGTAAACGTCGATTGTCAGGTCTGGTGGTTTTTCCTCCCTTGAGGGTGGCTCGCGGGGTGGGTCGCGGGTGGGTCGCGGGGTGGGTCACGGGGTGGGTCGCGGGTGGGTCGCGGGTGGATCGCGGGTGGGTCGCAAGTGGATCGCGGGGTGGGTCGCGGGTGGGTCGCGGGTGGGTCTCGGGGTTGGTCGCGGGGTGGGTCGCGGGGTGGGTCGCGGGGTGGATCGCGGGTGGGTCGCAGGGTGGGACGACGACAACAAACAACAACAGCAACAACAACAACGCAACAAGCAGATTTTTCATCATGAATTCCTTATTCAGCCACGCACCCAGGCACAATGAATGAACGCTCGGCCACCTCAGTCTGACCATTTTTCCCTTCTGAGGTGATGCCCACATCCATCGCACCGTGGGGTCCCAGGGCGCCGATTCCCCAGGTGGTCGACGTGGAACCACCCCCCTCGCAAACGTCGATGATCCTCAGGACGTGTGTTAGCCCAGTGTGTGTATACCCCGTTCAGCCACACCCGCAGATCACTACGTCGCCTGCGTTGCGTCGTACAGAAGGGCCTCGGCGGATAAACACACGTTGGCGCCAACACACGTTCTAAGGATCATCGAAAATGCCGAGGCACGGAGGCCGCCGCTCTCGCACCGCACGCTGGGCTCGGCCCAGCCGCGCGCCAGAGGCCACGTCTTGCCCACGTCTGGGTCGTCCCTCGGGTGCAGCCGCTGCCCTTGTTCGCGCGCGCCGCCGGCCTCTCGGGGGCAAGCCCAAGGCCGACGACGACGGCGACGACGCTGACGACGTTGACGACGTTGACGACGTTGACGACGACGGCGGCGACGACGACGCCGACGACGACGCCGCCGACGACGACGAAGACGACGAGCTCACCGACTACCCGCCAGGGCGACCGCCTCCGTGGCGACCTCCCTGTGCCTCACCCCAGGGCGTGGGCACAGCGGCCGGAACCCCATCTTTCGAGTGCAGTCGCGTCGACTCAGCGCCGATGAGCGTCGGTTAGCGGCGGCCAGCGCCGACTCGCAAGAGACAGCAAGACGGCATGGGAGGCTCCTGTGAATTGCAACAGGGCCCTCCGTGACGGCCTCCCCTCGCCTCGCTATCCTCGCTATCCAGGGCGAAGGCGAGGCGGCCGGAGGGGAACCTCGAGGGCGGAAGGAGCTCCGCAACGGAGGGGGCTCGGCCAGGCCGAGCCGCCGATGCGAGGCCCTTCTCTCCCTCGCAGCCCTGCATCCGAGGGCCGGGCGGCCCCTTCGACTGCAGCTGACGCTGGGTGCGGCATGGGACTTATCCACAACCGTCGGCTGGAGGATCGAGCTTCGGGGGCCTCGGCGGGCGCTGGATGTGTGTATATCCGGGCCCCCCGAGGCCAACATCTAGCAATATCCATATCCGCCGCCAACTGGGGTCCTAGGACGTCGGTTCCACTCACGGCGGATATGTACGTATGTGTGCATGCATGTATGCATGCATGCATTGATGTAGGTAGGTAGGTAGGTAGGTAGGTAGGTAGGTAGGTAGGTAGGTAGGTAGGTAGGTAGATACGTGGGTATGAAATGTATGTATGCCTGCCTGTAAGTATGTAAATATGCAGGCGTACATGCATGTATGTATGCATGTATGTATGCATCCATGTTTGTATGTATGCTTGTATGCCTGCATACATGTCTGTATGTATGTATGTATGCATGTATGTATGTATGTATGTATGTATGTATGTACGGGAATATATATTTATGTATGTATGTATGTATGTATGTATGTATGTATGTATGTATGTATGTATGTATGTATGTATGTGTGTATGATTGTTTGTGTGTTTGTTTGTTTGTATGTATGTATGTATGTATGTATGTGTGCATGCATGTAGGTATGTAGGTATGTAATTATGCTTGCATGTATGTATGAAGGTACGTATATAGGTATGGGGGTATGTGGGTATGTATGTATGATGTAGGTATGTATGAATGTACGTATGTATGTACGTATGTATGTATGTTCATGCATGCATTGATGAATGGATGGATGGATGGATGGATGGATGGATGTATGTATGTATGCGCGTAGGGCGGCTGGTCGGTAGGTCGGCCGGTAGGTAGGCAGGTCGGTAGAAAGGTAGGTAGATAGGTATGCATGCATGCATGCACATGTGTTTGCATGTTCGCATTCATAGATATATGTGTGTACGCATGCATAATGCACGTATGCATGCATGTATGCATGCATGCATGCATTTGTGTATGCATGCATGTATGCATGTTTGAAAGTGCAGGTCATATATACGTCTAGATATAATATGCTCCGCTTCGCACTCTTTGCAGACCGACGCGCCTTGCCGAAGCGCGTCCAGTGTCGTGACTGCGAGCTCTGCTGCTGATCCAAACCTCGGGAGCAAGCAAACAAACAAGCCGACACGCAGCACGGCGGCTTGCAGGGGGGTGGGGGGATGGCGATGCCTCGCCGCCGGCGCTCTCTGGCCCCAGCTGCGACCTGCGACGCCCGCCACACCTCGCGGCCACAGATGCGATGGTGCTCGCGTCGTGGGCGTCGCTGCCGTCCCTGCCGTTCTCGAAGAGGCGCCGCCCCAGGGAGGGGGGAGGTTCGGGATGGTCAAGGGCAACGATGTGGGGGGGGGGGCTAGCCTCGACGATCCAGGTTTCGGGACGTTTTCGTAGTTCTTCTGCGGCTATCCAGCCTCGGGATTCCTTCAGCGGCCGCGCCTCGCCGAGAGCATCTTGGGGATGCCGGGATCGTCCCGGTCGGCCGCACGAGGCTTGAGTTATGGCCCGGAAGCTAAGGGGCGCGAGGATGAATTGTGGGATGGCGCGAGCACGAGAAGGGCGAGCTGGAGCAGGGGCGGGGAAGGGGTGGAGGAGGAAGGGGCGAGATGGAGGATGAGATGGAGGAGGAGGAGGAGGAGGAGGAGGAAAAGGAAGCGAAGGCGGAGGAGAAGGAGGAGAAAGAGAAAGAAAATGAGGAGAAGGACGAGGACGAGAAGGAGAAAGCGGAGGAGGACGACGAGGAGATCCGTAGCAATTGGGTCAAGGCCGTTGCGTGGGGTTTCGCCTCCCCTGGGGTTGGGGCTCGAGCTGGCTGGGGGACCGCGGCGAATCCCCGACCAGAAGCCCTGCCCAGGGTGGGGAGCCAGAGTTTTCGCATCGACCCTGCAGTGTTTCGGCTCCTCGCGCAACGTCCATGGCCTATGGCGGCAGCGCGAAGACCTGGAAGTGCGTTCACTGCAAGTGTGCGAAGACGGAATGGAACCAGGCACACTGCAAACATTGTGGACAGCATTGGAAGTCAACCGCATGGGCAGCCAGTGCAGACGATCATGGGAAGCGCAAGGACAAGGCAGGCACGGGTCGGGATCAGCCTACTCTTCCTCCTGGTCTGGGTGGGGTCGGTGCTGGCCCCAAGCCGCTCCCCGTGGGAATGTTGCAGGCAGGCACAGATCCAGCTCCCGACCTCTCGATCGAGGATGTACGGCAGCTGGTGGCCCCCGCCAAGAAGTCCAAGTCCAGCGGGTTGGCCTCATACTACGAGCAGCTGCTGGTGCTCAAGCAGAACCAGCCCTCGGCGCAGCAGAGAGCAGACCACTGCTGGAAGGCCATCAAGTCGCTGGAGGTGGGGATCAAGGAGCAGAGCGGCGTCATCATGGGCTTGCAGAAGCAGATCGAGGACCGCAAGACAGAACTACCCGCTTCCCTGGACCAGATGGAGGCGCAGGAGAAGCAGCGCAGGGACGCAATCACGGAGCTCCATGCCGCTCAGGTGCCGCGGGCTCAAGCAAAGCCCAACGTCCACCTCCAGGACCTGGTGGCCGGTGATGCGACGGGGCCGGAGCTCACCTGCGGAGAAGACCCGTTTGGCTTCGCAGAGTTCCAGGATGTCTCGGATGCGGATCGTGCCGAGGCGAACGCCAGACAGGAGGAGCTCGAGCAGCGGCTCCAGGAGACGGCGAAGCAGCTCTTCGGCGAGCGCAAAGCCAAGGCCGAGAAAACAAAACAATAGCAGGAGGCGCTGCGCGCGCGCCTGCAGCTGACCAAGAGGCGCCGAGGACCCGACGAGCCCAGCGCCGCCGCCGCCTCAGACGCCCCGCCGGCGGCAGCAGCCGCGTCAGGCGACGGGCAGTCAGAGGCGGCCCAGGACGTGCCAGCACCTCAGGAGGAGGACGTCGCCCTGGCGTCAGTGGACTGCAAGGCCCAGGCGCTGCGCATCCTCAACCGCGCCATCGCCGCTGAGGGCAAAGGCAAAGGGCCTGGAGCGGGCAGAGGAGGCGAGCCCAGTGCAGGGCGGCAGCAGTCTAAGCACGGCGCACAGCCTCGCGGCCTGCGAGGCGTCGGGGAGTGCATTCACTACGTCGACGACTGCTTCGGGTGCACCTTCGCGCGCGCGGCCCTGGCCGAGCCCAGCTAGGGCCGAGACCCGACCCCTGTGGAACTCAGCGGGCGGGAATCGCCGGAGGGCCCAGCCGAGTACCCCACCGCCGTCGGCTGCGAGCTCCACCTGGGTTGGGGGTCAAGGGCCGCCTGCCGATGACATCAGGACTAAGCGACCATCCCGTAAGACTTGGTCGATTGCCACGCCTAATACTTCAGGTTGGGCGGGGGCCGCGGCACTTTTGACGGATGAGGCACGTCAGCATGACCGGTCGTGCGCCTCCAAGAGTGCAGGGTACTCAAGGCCCAGATTTCGCAGAAAGAGAGCGAGATGAACTCCGATGGCTGGAAATTGAGATTGACGGGCGCAATCAAGACTGTTCAGGGTGGAGTGTCTTCGGGAATTGGCCTGGGTGTTCGGCAGCGCGTCGATGTCGGGCAGGTGCAGGGAGCTCACGATCATCTCATGCATGCCAGGTGCTCCGTCGTCTGGGTCAACGAGTGCGTGATATGGGGCTTCTACGCGGCCTCGGTGCACCTGCCGGACGGGGAGGGCGTCTTAGGAACCAAAGGGAGGCAACGTTTGAACCAGTTGGGTGAATCTTTGTTTTCTGCCCAGAAGCCTTTCGTTACCGCAGGGGGCTTTAAACGGCCTGCCCTCAGAGGTTCAGCAGGTCCCAGGTGTGTCCAAGATGAGCGGTGCCGCCGTCAGATGTAATACACCGACTTGTCGTGTGGGGAAGTCTTGGAGGGAATTTGATTTCTGGTTTCCCATGACCTGGCGGGGGCTGTCGCGCCCTGCGATCGCGTGGATGACTCGGCCAACGAGACGCACTACCCAGTTCGATTGGTATTGGGCACCGTCGCGCGCGCTAAGATGAAGCGCTGTTTGAGATTGCCCAGGCCGCCCCCGCTTGACAAGCCGATCGGACCGACCCCTGCCCCGAAAGGATTTGACTTATCTAGATGGGCTCTTCGCAGGTTTCAACGCAGATGAGTCGGGGGCACTCTGTCCATTATCTACGGCCTCCTGTGCGAGCACATGGATAATGAGTTGCGCGATGTCCTTGGCATTGTGGGTCCAGAGAAAAAAACGCATGCGCTGGAAGGGGCCACGGGTATCGAGTTGTCGACAGACCGATCCTGGGGCATGTCCAAGGGCCGCGCCCAAAATGTCGAAAAATCAGCTCGGGCGGTTCGAAAGTGCCAGGCGTGGTTAGAGGAACTTCGTTATCCGCTCTTGGGACAATGATGGAGTTCGCGATCTCGTTCGTGAACTTCGACGGGTTCACCTCGACGTAGAGGGCGTCGCAGGATGGGGGGGCGCGCGCAGCCTGCTGCGCGCCCGCCTGCCGCGGGGCGCGGACGAGGCCCAGCTCGAGGAGCTGCGCGCGGCCTTTCGGGCCCTCGCTGACCAGGAGGAGGTGGGTGCCAAACTTGGGAGAACTAAAGAGTGGAGGTCTTGGGTTTCACAACCTTTGGATTCTGGAGGAGGAGCCATGCGTCGGCGGACAGAGGAGCCATGATGATAGGGCCCCGACCCTGGAGGACCTCAGCATGGGCCCTGTGGACCCACGGACACGGTTGATCAACTGTTTAAGGAATGGATAGACATCCGGCATTATAGGGAGGCCCAGAGGCGACAATGATCTGACCTCCGAGTCCCTCTGCCTGGGCCCCCAGCGGTTCCAACGGCAGCCCAGCTCCGCCAAGTCCATGAGAAATTCAAGAAACATGCTGCAGGAGGAACCGGCGGGTGGAACCCGGCGGTGCCGCTGTATCTGAGCGGCAGCGCCTTAGCAGTTTTTGGTAAGTTCCTTCCGATCAGAAAGACCCAGTTTCTGATCCCAGAGCAGTGCGACTTGTCGCTGATAGCATTCCTCAAGAAGCCAGACGACGGGCACCGCCCGATCGGAGCGCTGGCGGCGCGCATTCGCACATTGGCAAGGTCGAGGAGGAAAGGGGCATCACAATGGGAAAGGGAGCATGGCATGGACTGTATATATGGGGCGAAAGGGAGGAGTTGTGAGAGGGCGGTGTGGCGGCAGGGAGTGGGTGTTGAGGCTGCTCAGGCGATTGGTTGGGGCCAGCACTGGGGCAGGGCTAATCGATTTGGAAAATGCTATGAAAAGGTCCTGCATGGCGTCGTCTGGGGAGTTTGTACCAAGCATCGGTTCAAACTGCGCCGTGCCCGTTTGCTCTTACAAGTCTATGGAGGCCCTCGGATGCTGAAGGTACGCGAGCTTGTTTCGCCAGTGCTGGCCATCGCGCGCTCGGTCCTTGCAGGGTGCTCCTTTGCCGCAACCATGTTGCGTATTGTGATGCATGCTGCGCTAATGCACATGAAAGAGAGATGGCCCTCCCTCTCCTTTTATGTGATGGTGGATGATCTCACGTTGTCGTTGGGTTCGGCAAATAGAGTTCGGATTGTCTGGGGCAAAGTCGTTCCAGATCTGCGCAGACAATTCGAATAATGAGATGGAAGCTTCCAGGAAGAAGTGCCAGATCATGGCGCCCTGCCCGCAGATTGCAGAGCAGCTGGGGAAGGCGCTCAAAGGATATCGGTTTAATCTGTGCCGTGGTGAAGAACCTTGGGCATGACTTCAGTCAGCAGCACAGAAAAAGGGGAAAAGGTTTTCCAGCAGCGAATTGCGAGGCTTCGCCGCAGGGCGCACAGGTTTCGCGCTTTGAAGCATCACAGGCGCGGTCTGGCACGGGTATACAGAGGGGGGGGACTGCTGCAGCCGCGTCTGGAGTAAGGGCCATGGGGATGTCGGATAAGGATTTGAAGGAGATCCGCGCCGCGCCTGCCTTTGCTTTGTTCGGGAAGGCCAAGGGATGGTCGAGAGCTGCGCAGTACCTCCTGGCGGGCCCGCCAGACCTTGATCTTGTTTTTTTGGGTCAGCACGTTGCAGCTGACAACCTGGCCCCTAGCGCTGCGACAACGCTGGGTGCCAGAGAACGTTATGCACTGTATTTTCGAGGCGGCCCAGGACCGAGAAGTCCGAGGTTGGGCGGCGGCCCAAGGGCCTGTAGGCGCTGTCGTTCCGACCATGAGGCGTCTTGGGTGGATGGCGCGGTCCTGCAGCCACTGGATTGACCCCCGAGGGCTCGACGCGGGCCTCGAGAGCACCAGCACACCTGATCTTAAGACGGTCATTCACATATGAGTTAGGAAGCAACAGGAGGAGACGGCGGCGGCGCATCTCGGGTGGAAAGGGTATCCATATTTCGACTCTGTGAAAGGTGAGCTTAGGCAACTCAGGGGACAGGGCGAACATATGAAGGCCGACCTGATTGTAGCACATATGTGCTGGGGTCTGTGGGCTCAACAGAAGGTATATTATGAAAGGTATTCTGCGACTAGCATGTGCAGTTGGCGAAAGGCAGTGCCAGGAACGATTTCGCATAGGCTCTAGTCCCGCGATGGACTTGCCAGCTGGAGGCGAGAGCAAGGATTCCAGGAGCTCGTAGGCATTGGCCTCGCATTTTCGGACACGCAGCTTCTCGATTATGGCGTCGTGGACAGCCCGCGGGAAGGACTTGCCCCCCCCCCCCATCCAGGCTTCTGAATGTAAGATGCGCTTCTACCCTCCCAATGGAAGGCCCCCCCCCCCCCCCCCGACCCCGTTAATCGATGGATCCGGGCTGGGCCCCGACGTTGAATAGATGGCGCGCGCGGGCTGGTCTCGCGCGTTTCTGAAGCCTGGGGGGGGTGGGGGAGTCTGTGCAGCAGCTTGCGGCCCTGTACCAGGCATTGTGCAATCGTCAGGACACGCCGATCCCTGCGCTCTCCTGCAGGCGCTGGACCTGACAACCTCCTCTGCCGTGACGATCGTCACGGGCCATCAAAACATCGAGGGCCTCGCGAAGGGCCTTGCCATCATGCGTGTCCAAAGCAGTCCTTATTTGAATTGTGGCGCCCCGTGGTGATCTTGTGGATGCCTTCGCATAGTTCCAAAACGTGGATTTGGAACCATGGGTATCCCGATGCATGGCATGTAGGAAATAGTGAGGCTGATGAACATGCTAGACTAGGCGCTACGGGACACCCCATGTCCTCTCGAGTTGCTCAGTGCGTGCAGGCGGCTGAGCAGGGAGGCAGGCAAGTGGTTAGGCATCTTGGAGGGACCCTCGAGAGCTTCTCTAGTCTTGGATTTCCTGATGTAGTGCCTCTGCAGAAGGCCCATATTAAGTTGGCTGCCTCAAAAGATGTCGAGCCTGTGATGCAGTTACGGCTAGACCGTAGCGATAGTGGGCACTTCCTTCATGTCTCAGCAGGCGTGTGGGGGCGCCGAATGCGTGGCAAGCATGGCAAGACGAGATCAGCTGTAGTCGAGCTTCCATGTCCTGGTCTGCCAAGGGTCTTGGCCAGAGCGCACGAGACCCATCGGATTTGGAGGCTTGGGGACGACTTATATTTCTGTGCGAAATGCGTCCGCCACGCGAGGAAGCGGGTCAAGGACCTCGCCTCGCGCTGCGGCCCCCCAACAGTGTCAGGAAAGCGGTCCTTCCGCAAGCTGAGGGCGGGCAGAGATCCGTCCAGCGGTGTGGAGGTGGGCCCCCCTTTCCCTGTGCACGGACTTTTCCCTTGCAGGCAGTTTTGCTGCGCAGGGCGGACTTGCCTGAGGCCCCAGAGGCCCCAGAGGAGGAGGAGGAGGAGGAGGAGGAGGAGGAGGAGGAGGATACTACTGTTGTGATCATGAGGGGGTCCTGGACGAGGGAGGGTGAAGGAGGAGGCGTCGGTGCAGGAGGAGGGGCGATGGATAAGGAGGAAGAGGAGGATGAGAAGGGTCCCGGACGCCGGACGGCCCTGAGGTCCCTGCCATCCTCCAACAGGCGTTGCCAGGAGGAGAGCGAGATAGCGAGACGAAGGAAGGGGGAGGGGGCCGACAAGGCGCGCTCTAGACAGAGTGTCGACTTCGAGTAAATCGAGGACTGGATTTCTCATCTTTGGCGGTAGGCGGCCCTGGGCCAGCGGAAGCCTGCTTGTCCAGAGCTAGGGTCGCTCCGCCATTGGAAGCCAGCCCAAGAAAGATATGCCCCTTCCTCCCCAGAGATGGCAATAATCTCCGTGCGAGCAAAAAGGTTCGTCTCCAGTTGCGACGACGATGCCGAGGGAGCCTTGTACTGTCCACGTCCTGCTGCTGCTGCTGCTGCTGCTGCTGCTCCTTGCTGGTTCTGTCGAGAGTTTTCAAGACGCCGACCGCAGGTTTGCGCAGTGTTTCGGAAACTTCCTCAAGCAGTCAGACGCCTCTGGAGGGTTCCTATTTCTGGCTCGTGCCACACTTGCGTGGGTGGAGGAGGGCCACAAGGAGGAGAAGGAGGGAGGACAGAGGGCGGGAGAGGGGCGCATTTCTCATTATTTTGGCGTTGCACAGACTCCAGCACACTGGTGGGTTTTAACGTTTTGCTGGCCGCGGCCCTAGGAAATACAGGATCGGAATGCATCGTTCGATCATCCACTAAGAAGAACCACCAGTGCGTGCACCGTAAGGCACCTCTTGCTCTCCTCCTCTTCCTCGTCGCCTCCTTCTCATCCTCCTCTTCTTCCTGGTCCTCGTCTCTCCTCCTCCTCCTCCTCCTCCTCCTCCTTCTCCTGACACCTGTCACCTGACACCTGACACCTGATGGTTGCACAGTCGTCTGACGAAGCCTCCCCCCCAAGGGCCGGTCGGCCCTGGGGGGGTGATCAATCTAACGCCATGACCCTTGGAGCACCGCTCCAAGGGTCACCAGCGGTGTTGGTAAGAAGTGGAAGTGGGAGACAGACAGGCAGACGAGGAGAGGAAGGGAGGAGACACAAGAGAGGCCTTTCTGATAACGAAGGGGATTGGGGAGGAGGTGGGGCTGACGCCGTGTGTAGCGGTGATGTGGCGCATGTGTTCCCCGTCCGTCCCTAGAACCCAACCTCCCCCTTATTTGAGCAACGGTCGCCGAGCAGGGGTAGCCCTGGTGGCTGCGGCGACAGAGAGCAACAGTAGTCCTGGCGGCAAAGGTTGCTAGCCCTTTGGCTGGCAGCATGGTTGTGGCCGCAGAGGCGTGTGGAAAGGCAAGGTGAGGCTGAGGCGCTTTTCCTCCTGAAGCTGTACCCCCCACATCTTTGTATATGCAGCGGTAGCCGAACAGCGTTAGCCCTGACGGCTGCGGCGACAGTGAGCAGCAGTAGCCTTGGCGGCGAAGGTTGCTGGCTCCTCGGCTGACAGCACGGTTGGGCGGCAGAGGCGTGAGAAAAGAAGAGTGATGATAACGAAGGGGAGGGGGGAGGAGGTGGGGCTGACGCCGTGTGGCTCGGTAAAGTGGCGCATGTCTTCCCTCCTCCTCCTCCGCCTCCTCCTCTTCCGTCTCCGTCTCCTCCGCCTCCTCATCCTCATCCTCACCCTCCCTCTCCTCCTTCTCGTCGCCTCTGTCTCTCCCTTGTCCTCGTCGCCTCCGTCCTCCCCTCCGTCCCCCTCGTCCATGCTCTGGTCGTCCTCCCCCTTGTCATCGCGCCTCTGTGCGCCTGCGAGGCACACATAGGCGATAGGCGAGGAGGGAGGATGAGGGTAGGATGGCAGGAAGAGGATGATTATGATGAGGAATCGGAGGGATAAGAAGCAAGGAGGGAGGAGCCAGGGGGAGGACGAGGAGGAGGATGGGCGAGGATGATGACGAGGGGGTAGAGGGAGTTGGAGGAGGACGAGGAGGAGGAGGAGGAGGAGGAGGAGGAGCAGCAGCAGCAGCAGCAGCAGCAGCAGCAGAAAGAGGGGACAGGGAAAGGGGCTCCAGCTGCACCGACGATGCTGAGGGAGCCTTGCTCTGTCTATATCAGGGCACGCATCGGAGACTTTGGGAGCTCTCCAGACGTCTCTAGACTTCCGCAGGTTTTGCAGTGTAACCAAACGTCTTTGGAGGGTTTCGGAGGCTTCCGGTTGGGCCACCGACAGGAGGAGGAGAAGGAGGAGGAGGAGGAGAAAGATGAGGAACATGTGGAACAGGAGAAGGAGGATAGTGGGGTGGTGGGGACACCTCTTGCTCTCCTCCTCCTCCTCCTCCTCCTCCTCCTCCTCCTCCTCGTCTCGTTCCTCCTCCCCGCCCTCCTCCATCTCCGTGTTCTAATCGTCCTCTCTCTTGTCCTCGTCCCTCTGTTGCCCTTGAGGTCGCGCCAGAGGAGCACAGGGAGGAGGACGGAGGAGGAGGGAGGAAGGCAGGAGAGTGGAGTGAGGAGTGGGGAGGAGAAGGAGGATGGCGACGGGGAGGGGGGAGGGAGGGAGGGAGGAGGGAGGAGCTGGAGGAGTAGTAGGAGGAGGGATGAGGAGGGAGGAGGAGGGAGGGAGGAGGAGGAGAAGCATGATGGGGGCGGGCAGGAGGGAGGAGTATGGGAACGCCTGCCCCTGTCCGGTCTGGGCGGCGGGGGTGGGGGCGCCCATGCAGTCCAGCGCGGATCGCCTGGCGCTGCTGTTTCCCGTCGTGCTCGTTCTAGTGGAATTGTTGGTGGCGTGTGTGTTGCTATACGTGATGTTGCTGCTTTTCGCAATGCTGGTTGTAGTGGTGTTGTTGGTGGTGCTGTTGCTGGTGCGTGTCGTGCTGCTGGGTCATGTCATGCGCGTCACGGCGGTGCTGCTCTTTGCGCGTGTGCTGGCGCGTGTAGTGTTGCTGCTTCCCGTCGTGCTGGCCACACTGGTACTACTGGTGGCGGTGGTGTTGTTTCGCGTGGCGCTGCTGCTCCCTGTCGTGCTTGTCACAGGGGTACTGCTGGTGGCGCTGGTGCTGCTGCGTTTGGTACTACTGCTTGCTGTCGTTGTGGTCGCAGTGCCGCTGCTGGTGGCGCTTGTGCTGCGTCGCGTGGTGCTGCTGCTTCCCGTCGTGGTCGTCATACTGGTACTGTTGGTGTCGCTGGTGCTGGTCAAAGAGGTACTGCTGGTGTTGCTTGTGTGGCTTGCACTACTTTTTCTGCTGCTGCTGGCGCTGGTGCTAGTGCGGCTGATCATGGTGTTGCTGCTTATGATGCTGCTCGTCTTGGTGGTGCTATATACTGGTTGCGCTTGAGCCAGTGCGCATGAGTAGTGAGACACCTCGCGCACGATTGCGACGGATGCTCCCGCCTCACCGCTGGCCACACCCGCTATATCGACTATTGTTTTGGCCTGAGCCCTGGTCCCATCTATGATTGCGAATGTTGGTCTCGCCATAGTGCAGGCCACATCCATGATTGCGAATCTTGTTTTCGCACCAGTGCCAGCCACATCAATGATTGCGGACTTTGTTTTCGCCTCAGCGCCCGGCGCATCCAATGATGGCGAATATTGTTCTCGCCTCAGCGCTGGCCATCTCCACGATTGCGAAAGTTGTTCTCGCCCGAGCGCTGGCCAGATTCTTCATTGGAGCCGAAAAGGGATCTGTGATACACTTGGCTGTCGTGCGTTGCATGTTGCTGTGTCGCTTCGCTCTGGGGCATCATTTGCTACAGCGCGCGCGTGACACACTGGTGTCGCCGAGCCGTTGGTCACGTCACGTCAGCCTTGATGGGTCAGGGCCAGCTCAGGCGCAGTGTCGACGGGAGCTTGGGTAGGTTGGGCTTGGGCTCTGACGGGTCAGGGAGCGGGGTGTGTGCAACGCCCGCGGCGTCGCCGTCCGCGGCGCCGTCGGCCGCAAGTTGCCGTCGGCGGCGCCGTGTTGCCGTCGGCGGCGCCGTCGGCCGCCGCGTCGCCGTCGGCGTCGTCGTCCGCGGCGGCGCCGTCGGCTGCCGCCGTCGGCGGCGCCGTGTTGCCGTCCGCGGCGCCGTCCGCCGCCGCGGCGCCGTCGGCGGCGCCGTGGCCCGACGAGGCGGCCCGGCGCCTGGGCTGCGGCCGCCGCGGGCGGCCCCGAGGCCGAGGGGCGGCCGCTGCGGGGCGGCGGCGCGGCGTGGGGCGCGGCGCGCGGCCGGACCGGAGGGGGGCCTGCGGCGCGGAGAGCGTACAGCGAAGTCGGGCATGTCCCCCTACAGGGGGAGTATGGTAAAATAGTTGGAAAAAGTAGTTTGTTTTACGATGTTTGGTTATGTTTGTTCATATTTGTGCGTGTGTTGGAGGATCTGGTATTTTTCGTCCCAAATCCGCCTGCTAGAGGACATGCCCGGACTGAGCGTACAGTCAAGACGCTGAAGTATGAGGCACAGCTCGAGCGCAAAAGGAGTTCGATGTTCTTCTAGGTCATTCTGTGTTTTTTCGTCTAGCCCTCCTCGTGCTCGCCGGCGCTCTTGGGGCCAAGAGGGCGCTTCGTTCCTTATTTTCCGTTCCTTGTTCCGGTTTTTTCGAGCCAGGCATTCTCGACAGGTTTCGGGCTGCAGGAGCCTCACGCGTGGATCCGGCTCGAGAGATGGCGCAGAAGGATAGGGTCAAGTGCTCCAGTCGTGACTTCTTGCCATGCTGCATGTTTTCCGAGTCGTCGGATCTCAGGGTCGGCTCTGCGTAAGAGTGGCCCTTCGCCAGAGTGACCTCTGCTGCGGGAGCCCGCAGGGATCCACTCAGCACTGGCCTGCTCGCCTGGATGCGGACCCCCCGCGGCCACGTGAGGCCGCGCAACAGAGGTCACTGCTGCCTTAGGTCCACTTTGCGCGTATTCGAGTATCTTGTCGCGTCTTAGCTGCCCTGATACGCCCGTTTTGAAACGCACCACGTGCGGTGTTGAAAACGTCCGTTGCGTTGGCCAACACGTGGGCCAACACGTTGCGCGCTGGCTCACCGCGTTGGCCCACGTTTGGCGAACGTCTCGTGCCAGACCTACGCGTTCAGTCTACGTGTTGAGCTCCGTGTCAATACGCTGCGCGTTGCGTGTTGCGTACCAGGGCAGTTAAGTTTCGCATAACGGCAAACAGCAGAAACATAAATTGTTGGAGCTCCGCGTGGACTGCTTGGACCGAGGCTGGAGCCCCTTCCCTGGCGTGCGGAGCGCGCCGGGGTCGTCGCCAGAGGTGCCGCCAGGGGGGCCTTCGCCGATTCAAGAAATCTCCGCCAAGTTCCAAAATGTCTAATTGCTGCAGTTTTTCGTTCTTGTGGTTTTGTCCTGGCCTCCCAAAGGCGCGACGCAAGAATGTAAGCTCTCGCGTAAGCGCCCACGCTTCCAATGCAGCGTGCCGCGCCGGCGGCCCGCGTAAGCCGCGGCGTAACGTCGCCACGTCATCTCGCGTACGACCTTTCTGTTCTCGTCGCTCACATGGGGCCAGAGCAGGTGGGCTCGGAGGATCGAGCCGCGTCGCCAATGCAGCGGCGACGAGGCTCGATATGCAGCACGATCTTCCCCATGTCGACGTCTCCGATGCATCGCCGCCGTCGCCGATGCATCGCCGATGCATCGGCGATGCATAGCCGATGCGGCGCGAGCCTCCGACTCCGTCTGCTCGGACCCCCTTCTTGGGAGGCCTCCAGCGCCGCGCACTGCGAGCGCAGCCCTGCCCTTGCCTCGACACCGAGATCGACTCCTAGGGACACCGCTTGTAGTGGGCGTTGTGGTTTATTTTTGTGTTTCCTTATTGTGTTGTTGTGGTCGTTGTTTCCTTGTTGTGCCCTGTTGTCTTTCCTTGTTTTTGTTTGTGTGCTGTTGTTTTCTGTTGGTTATTGTTGTTTTGTTCCTCGTTTTTCTCATTGGGCGGTTTGGCATGGGCTCGGGCGCCGTCCCCAGGCGCGGCGCACGGCCGGACAAGCGAAGCCCGCGGCCCCGTGGCGCGACCCGCGTGGTTTCTTCCTTGCCTCGAGCTCGAGATCGATTTCGAGGGCAGCGTAGCGCACCACTGCGGCGGGATCCTCCGACCCCATCTACTCGGGTCCCATCTAGGTCTCGGGGAAGGTGCCCAGGAGGCTCCCTCTCTCCATGCTGGACTCCTTATCCAATGATTCCACATCCCATGCCCTCACCGTACCCCTCGCAGTCCTGCCCTTCCCTGAGACCTCGGCGTTGCAACATGCTCACGCTGGGTGATGGCGATGGGGATGGCTTAGGTCATGACTTTGCGCGATCTTGCACTTTTGATCGCAACTTCGGATCTCAGGGTCTTTCGTCGACTCGGCTAGATTCGCCTCGAAGTTCTGGCCAGAGCGCACTTTTGCCTTTTGCAGATGACAGGGGGCCGCGCCGTGAACAGGTCGCCGCGTCGCTCCGGGATCCAGATCCTCTGGCCCCATGGCGTCTTCGTCGGTCCCCAGAGGCTTTTCCAGACTCGGAGTGCTTCCCTGCGCGCCTCGCCGAGGACGATCCCGAACGGCCGCCCGAGACTCGAGTTATGACCTTTCAGCCAGACTCGGCGGCGAAATCCGAACCCTTCCCTCGCCGATCAACGACTCGGGCAACTCGATGGGCGGCGGGAGTAGGCTTTGGAACTCGTCGAACACGTGGCGAATCCGAGCACTACCGCCGCCTCCCATCGATTCAGGATAATCGACGGTTGGTAGGGGTAGGTTTGGATGTCGCCATCCACAGACTTCTTCGCGCAGTGAAGACATCACGACGTAAGGGGTCCAGTAACTTTCTGCCTCTGGGGGCTTTTGCCAGGTCCCGGGTACACCCTCCCAAAGCGGCTCGGCTCGAAGAGCCCGTCCCGGGGAAGAGTTCAAGGCCTTTGGTCGAAGAAGAAAAAACGCCAGAAAGATAAATTTTTGGCGCTCCGTGCGGATGTTTTTTTCTATTTGGGGAGCCACGATGTCAGACGTCCAGGCGTCGGATGCCAGGGGGCTGATCAGTATTCACTGCCCGGGAAGAAGATCTTCTTGTGCCTCTGGAGGCAGTGGATGCGGATGTTTTCGGGCCCCACTAGGGCCCAGATGTGTCCGTGCCCGTCGCCCCTTGGGGGGGCGCAGGACAGCGGCCCCTCCCTGGGCAGCAGGTATGGATGAGTCCTCGCCTCGCGCGAGCGGCGGTGGGGAGAAGCGAGGCATCCGGGCATCGAGGGGCCACCCCGGGCGCAGAGGAGAAGCGCGCTTCGCGCGTCGCGGCCTGGGCCGGACGGCTGCCCTCCTCCAAGGTGGCCTCGCGAGGGTGGGAAGCGAACCGCGGGTTGCGATGCGCGATGCACGAAGGTGGGCAGCCCGGAAGCATCGAGGCACCGAGGCACCGAGGTTCGAGCTGCGAGGCCTTCGGGCAGCTTTCGTGGACCCGCTTCGGGCCCCGAGGCCGTCGACAGTCGATCCGGGGCGGGACGTCTGCCGGGATGGTCTCCTGGAGGGGGGCTCGGCCTTTCGATCTTGAACGGGCTTGGGCTGGAGAGGGAGAAAAGAAGGGAGAGGAGGGTGGTGGAGCAAGGCGTGTCACCTTCGGCGAGCCCGTGCTTGCATCGAGCGCAGCGTGTACGGCATTCCACTCTGGCTGGACTTCGGGGTCCCCTCACGGGCACGGTGAGGAAGCCACCTGTTGGTTGCGGGATTCGGCGTCCCTGTGGCGAGCCTTGGGGAGACAGAGGGAAGAAGAATAATAAGTAAAATAATAATAATAAGAATAAGAAGAAGAACAATAAGAACAATAATAATAATAATAAGAACAAGGAGACGAACAGATAATAAGAATAAGAAGAATACGAAGACGAATGATAAGACGAAAACGAAGGAAACATGTGCTTCGATATTCCAGTCTTTTCCTGCGCAGCCCGGTGCGCCCTCGTCCTCGACGCAGCTACTCATCGGGCCACCCCTCGCGATTAGATTGTCGGAGCGCACGCCTGGGCGGGTCTGGAAGCCAGCTCTTGAGGGACGATCGAGGTTTGGGTGTCGAGATCCCCGCGGCTGGAAGACCGCCGTGCTCCAACGCGTTCGTGATTCTCGGTCGCAGCCACGCGCAGAGGGGTGGGTGGGGGAGGGGGGATGGCTTCTAGGAAGCACCCCTGCTTCTTAGAAGGCGCGAGCCAGATCTGTAGATACAGGGCCGCCGCCTTCTAAGAAGCAGCCTCCTTCTAAGCAGCCCTCCCCCTTCCCTCCAATCCCTTGTGCGCGCCGCCAATGGTCGCAGCCGTCGAGGTGTAACTCCGAGCCCTTGGTCGTCTTGTAGGGCAGCTTTTCGTGGGCCCTGAGCGCCGTTTTTAGGGGCCAGCAGAGCGCCCGTGGACGTCCAGGCAGCACGAGGTGCCTGCGGAACGTGCCGAGTTGGGGTCTCACTGCATCTGTCTGGGAGTGGTGGCGGCCTTGGCGTTCCGCCTCTCTTTGTCCTTCAATTGTTCGACCTGTCGCTCATCGAACGGGCTCGGTCGTGTCGGTCGCTGCTGCAAAAGGAGGAGGTAGGGTCCTACAGTGGATATTGGAGCTTTCGAATGCAAGACAAGCCAGCGACGTGTTGCGCCCCACAGTGAGAGCGCTTTCCGTCCCCATGGCGCACAGGCCTTTCTAACACGTTTTTTGCCCTATGGGCCAGCGAATCCCCAGCGGCGTAAAATCCTGTGCAGCGCAAGCTTTGCACGGGGAGGTATAAGAAAAGAGGCCCACGGGTGGAATTCGTCGACCCTGGCTCGCCCACTCATCGCCGCTAGGGGCTCGGGAACTTCACGGCGCCTTGAACCTCCTCTTTTCGGCGACGGAGTGATGGAGACCCATCGCTGGTGTGTCGGCGACGCGCATGCAAACCCCGTAGCAACGAGGACGCGATTAAGCACGGTGGCGTTGTGCTGTGGCCTGCGGACGCTATAACCGTCACAGCGTTGTTCACTGGTCAACTCTGGGGGGTCTATGGTGTTTGAAATGAGCTTTGATGTTTAAAGCATCGTTTCCAGAGACGACGCTGCATCAGAGTTGTCAAAACAGTTTCCTCTGGTCTTGCACCTCACCTCGTACATATACTCCCACGTTTGGTCGTATCGTGTATTCCAGGTCGATGCTTCCCCCCTTTCGCCGGAAATGAGGACATAGAAGGACGGAGGAGGAGGGTGGGGGAGTGGAGGAGAAGGGGGAGGAGGATGATAGGGAGGGATACATGAGGCGGAGGAGAAGGAGGAGGGGGAAGGAGAGGGGGAGGAGTTACAGTCGTGGACGTTTGCTTAGCATGTCGCGCCGCGGTTTCTGGCCCGCATTTCTTCACCGCGACACTCTAATCACGTCCCAGTCCCCAAGCATCAACGTCCCGACGTCTTGCCATCCTCACGCACCGCGGAGCGGAGCGACACGCTATCCCCGTATCGCAGGGGTTGCCGCCGCGACGCGCTAGGCACAAGTTCTCGACCGTAGAACAGGATCGTGAGGATGTGATGGTGATTGTGATGTTGACGGCGATGATGCTGATGATGATGGTGAAGATGATGAGCATGCTTGTTAGTATGATGATGCCATTGATTACGTTGACGATGACGATGGTGATGACGATGGTGGTGGTAGCGACTATGGCGACTGTGATTGTGATGGCGATGATGATGATGATGATGATGATGATGATGATGATGATGATGGTGATGACGATTATGATGCCGTTGCTGATGATGATGATGACGATGATGATGAGGAAGAGGATGACGATGATTATATTGATGATGGTGATGATGACGATGCTGATGAAAAAGATGATGATGCTGATCACGAGGAAGAGGAGGAGGAGGAGGAGGAGGAGGAGGAGGAGGAGGAGGAGGAGGAGAGCGAGGAGGAGGAGAAGGAGGAGGAGAAGAGGAGGAGGAGGAGGAGAATGAGGAGGAGGAGGAGGAGGAAGAGGCAGAGGAAAGAAAGGCTCAGTGGGCGCCTGCCCCCCGTGCGCGCCCCGGGAAAGAGGGCATGCGCCTAGGCCAGGGGCAGCTGGCAGACTCTTTTGTGTGCCGCTTGCCCAGGAGTGCGCGGCGCACCGCACCACGAGACCGGCCGTCGGTGCACGGGGACTGCCCAGAGCCGTCGAGCCCTGTAGCTCGAGCGGGTGCCGAGAAACCGTGAGGAGGAGCAGGAGGGGAGAAGGAGGAGGAGGAGAAAGAGGGGGAGGAGGAGGAGGAGGAGGAGGAGGAGGAGGAGGAGGAGGAGGAGGAGGAGGAGGAGGAAAGGAGGAGGAAGGGAGGAGGAGGAGGAGGCAGGAGCAGGAGGAGGAGGAGGAGGAGGAGGAGGAGGAGAAGGGGGAGGAGGAGGAGGAGGAGGAGGAGGAAGAGGAGGAGAGGGAGGATGACGAGGAGAAGGAGGAGGAACGGGGGGAAGGGAAGGAGGAGGGAGCAGGAGGAGGAGGAGGAGGATGGATGAGCTCGGGGAAGAGGAGAAGGAGGAGGAGGAGGAGCTCGAGGAGGATCTCCCTGTTGCCCCGTCTCCCACCCTCCCCCAGAGGACCCTCTCCGCGAGGACTGCCGACTCCCAGCGCGGCGGCGGGGCGCCCGAGGTCGGCTCCTCTATTCTGTTTGTGCGGCCTACCTCCCGCTGCCCTCCTGTCCTCCTCGTCCTCCGTCATCCTCCTCCATCCCTCCTTCCCCCCTCCTCGTCCTCATCCATCCTCTCCTGCTCGTTCTCCTTCATCCTCCTACCTTCCTCCCTCCTCCTCCTCCTCCTCCTCCTCCTCCTCCTCCTCCTTCTGCCCCTCCTCCTCGACGCTCGATGCTGATCGCTCTTGGGTCTGGGGCAGACGCAGATCCCTCCGCCTGATCCTCAGAGCATGCAGCTCCATTCTGGCCGAACGTGCTGGAAGGTGACTCCGATGTCAGTGATTGCGAGCCGTGCTTCTGCGCACGTCCCCTTCCCGTCTTCGCTTCTCGCCCAAGCATGCGCCAATACTCCAGACTTGCAAGCTGGGTGGTTAGCGCTCTTGTGGCCCATCCCACGAGTACCATTTCCGATATTGTTCGCGTCTACGTTCTATAGTTCAGCTGTTGTGCTCGCTGCGTGTAGCGCCCTAGCGCCCGTGCAGTTGATGCATAGTGCATAGGTGTGCGTCGAGCAGCATGTATGATCTGATTGTGTAGGTGGTGGTTCTGGAGCTTTTCCTCAGTGGCCTCGATGTTCCTCTTGACCCTCCCCCTCCCTTCTACGCACCGGCATGAGGCGTGTCGGTCACGTCGAGGCCTCTCTTGGTCCTGGCAGGCTTTCGCCCCCCACTTGCCGAGCCCTTCCCCCCCCCATCCCTCCTTCCCTCCTCCCTCTCTCACGCCTCCCCTTCTTCCCGCCTGCCATTCCTCGTCTCTTTTTTTGCGCATCTGCTCTCCGTCTTATTATTTACCTCGTTTCATTCTCTTGCTCCGCTTTTTCCTTATCCCCCTCCTCCCGCTTCTCCCCCTCCTTCCCGCCTCCCTTTCCTCCCCGCAGTGTCCCCCTTTTCTTGTCCTCCCCGCACCGCTTTCCCTCTCCTCCTCCCCCCCCCTCCCCTTTGTCACGCCCCTCTCCCTCTCCTCCATCTCATCCCCTCCTTCTCGCCCTCCTCTTTCGCTGGGCAGACTTCGAGCGGAGCTCATGGCGCCGTCCTCCTCCTCCTGCTCCTCCTGCTGCTTCTGCTCCGCGCCCGCGGCGCGCCGCCGACCCCCGCCCCGCGGGGGCCACGCCGCACGGCAGGGCCGGCAGGGGGCGCGGCGCTCGCTGCCGAGCTTCCCCTCCCCCCCGCTTCCCCTCGCTGTCCCTCGCTTTCTGTCTCCTTCCCCTCGCTTCCTGCCCCCCTCTTTGCCACTCTCCCTCTCTCGCTCTCCCTCCCTTCCCTTCATCTCTCTCTCCTGCGTTCTCTCCCTCCCCCCCTCCCCAAAAAAGGCCTGGGGACACCCGATCGGTTCCCCCCCCCGTCACCAAGGAGGCCCCCGGGCGTTTTCTCTCTCTCTCTCTCTCTCTCTCTTTCCCCCCGCTCTCCCCCGTCCCCCCCCTCTCCCGCTCTCTCCCGCCGTCCTCATCCTGGCGCCGCCGAGCCGATGCGATTTTAGCTCCGAGCCGATGCGGTCCGGTTCGGTGCACGTTCCGATCCGATCCGATTTCCCGATTCGTTGCGACTGTGCCCAGGAGGTTGATGCCCTGAAGGATTCCTCGTCTGATGAGGTCGGCGGCGAACTCCGAGTCATACATTTGCCGATCAGCAGCCGAAGCCGACGACAGCGGAGGCCGCCGACGCCGCCGACGCCGACTCCGACGGCGGCGGCAGCGGAGTGCTCCGCGGCAGCCGCGCCCCGCGCACGGTCGAGGCCACCCCCGTCGCGGCCGGCGACATGGGTGCCGGCGCTCCGCTGGAGCCAGTGAGCTCCATGGAGGAGGGGGTCGGGGCTCAAGGGGCGGGGGTCAACGCAAACGGGGGCCAGTCAGCGCGCCAGATCTTGCAGGATCCCATGCAGGGCCAGGGCTGCACTGACCAGGGCGTGGGCGCAGGATCCCGCAGGATCTTGCAGGATCCTGCAAAGCCCGACTGACCCGGGCTTGAATTGACCCGGGTCAGTAGATCCCCAAGGTGGGCGGGGCCCAGACCCGGGAGGTTTCTGCTATTTTCGGCCTCTGGGGGCCATTGCCGGCGTCGGGCAACACATTTCGGACCCATTTTTTCCTAGGTGACTGACGCCTCCACATGACGACAGGAAGTGCGCCACGTCTATTTCCATAGGTGGTATGCTAATATGCACGGCCATGGGCTGCCACAGCCTACGGCACGAGCGAGCGAGCGCGCCCTTGGCGGGTCACGGGGCCGTAGCAAAAAGGGCTCAGGGTGAAGAACCACTCCTGGGGAATGGGTCGACGTTAGGGGTGGGAATCACGAGCGGCGAACATGTCCGTATCCGCGCCCTCGCGTTCTGGATTCTGGGGCTCGAACCCGCGGATACGCTTGTCGCCCGGATACGCTTGTCGCACATTTTCTCTCTCCTCATCTCTCTTTATTCTTCCCCCCCCGCTCTTGTGCCTCTCTGCTGAGGGGCATACATACAGTTTGGTTTTCAATATTTGCCCTCCCCGCCAGTGCTTTGAGAGCACCCTTCCAGGCCATATCACTTTGGCGGTCGATGCAGCGTTTGATGCGTGAGAGGAAGAAGCTTTCCTCGCGGGCCATCCAAGAAACAACGCCCCGTATTCGCGGTATCGCTACCTTTCCTGGCTTTCGCTTTTGGGGGGCCTCCTGGGAGGTCCTCTTCGCCACCGCTGGATTCACATCGAAATTCGAGCCAGAACGCTCTCACGCAGAGGTCTGGGAAGTGCTGCTCAGCGCTATCCCCAAACTTCGGTTCCGATGTCGATCTGGTCCGATCCGACACGAGCCGATTCCCTCTCCGGCCTGCAGGGCTCGAGATCTATCCACAATCGCAAACGGTCCGAATCCAGATCCGATTCCAGGCATACTCTCCCGAGATCCAGTCCGTGTCCGATCCGATCCGAATTTGCGATTTGATCCAGTTCAAGCCTGCCAGGTTCGCCCAGCGTGTGAGCCGTAGCAGGGGGCGCCCGCAGAGGGTCCCCGGAGGATCCCAAGAGGGTCCCAAGAGGATCCCAAGAGGGTCCCATGAGGGCTCAGGACAACCGCAGGGTGGCTGCCCGAGCCCAGGACGGCCCCATACGGCGCCAAGACGGCCCAAGAGCGTCCAAAGATGTTCCAAGATGGCCCAGGAGAGGCCGAGAGAGCCCAGCGTGGCCCCGAGCGGCCGCAAGATAGTTCCGACAGGACTCCACGACGGGCTGCACTTGACGGCCCGATTGGTTGTGACCCGACTAGAACCTCAGCGCTCGCGAAACGCTCGTGGTTTTCGTGTGTGTGTGTGTCTATATGCATATAAGATATACATATGCATGCATATATATATATATATATATATATAGAAACACGCGCGCGCTTCGCGCGCGCTTAGGTTCTAGTCACGGCTGCGCCACGTCTTGCTGCTCTCGTTTTCGCTCATGTGATTATCGACGACGACGAAGACGACGGGGGCGGCAACGAGTGACGACGAAGGCGACGATGACGATGACGACGACGACGATCACGACGACGACGACCGCCACCACCACGACGAGGACGACGCCGACGACGACGATGACGTCCACGTAGTGACTCGTTCAATGCGGGGTTCCTGAAGTGTCCCCGAGGTCCCGACAACTTCATAGACCCGGAGTTTCGTCGTAAATGTTTGACGGTCCTTGGGCCCGTGACGGGCCTCAGGAAGCCGAGAGTTGTCCGGAAGCTTTGGGAGCGGTAAGACTACTTCAGGGCGTCTGGGGAGGGGGCTCTTGGGGGCCTCTTGGGGATTCCTGGGAACCTCTTGGGAATTCTTGGGGGCCTTTTGGGAGCATCTTGGGGGCGTTTGGGGGGCCTCTTGGGGCCTCCTGGGGACCTCTTGGGGCGGAGAGCTTCAAATGTCCGTTTGGGTCCCCCTTCTGGGCCCCTTCTTGGGGCCGTCCTGGGGCCCTCTTGGGCCGTCTTGGGGACCTCTTGGGCTCGCCCGGGGTCCTTTTTGGGCTGTCTTGGAGCCCTCTTGGGCCGTCTGGGGAAGATCTTGGGGGCCTCTCGGGCCGTCTTGGATGCTCTGGAAGCTCAGGAGGCGAATCTTTTAAAAATATACGTTTTCCGAAGGGATAGGGGACATTTTTGGGTCTTGGGGCCCTTTTGGGAGGGCTCTTGGGGGCCTCTTGGTCTGTCTTGGGAGCTCCCGGGAGCCGTCTTGGGGCCATCTTCGGCGTCTTGGAGCGACAATTCGGGAATCCTGCGCTCTCTTGGACTGTTTGGCGGCCTCCTGGGCCCTCGGGTGCCGTTTCGAAGCTGTCTGTCTGTGGCCGTCTCGGGGGCGCCCTGGAGGCCCCGGTCCTCCCATGCGCTCCCGTGGTCGCGGCCCCCATGCGCTCCGGGCCCTCTTGGGCCGTCTTGGGGCTCTCTTGGGCTCCTCTTGGGGGCCTCTTGGCCGAATTAGGGATCCCACTCCTTCTTCTCACGTCCTCGTTATTCAGTGTTCACTTCTCTTCGCCTTTGCTCGTTTCCTCGCCCTTCCTCCCCTCGTCCTTCTGCGCATTTTTCCTGCTCAGCATCCCCTCTTCTTCCTCCTTGTCCTGATATTTTCTGCAGTTTCCCTTTTTCCTCCTCCTCCTCCCTTCCTCCTCCTCCTCCTCCTCCTCCTCCTCCTCCTCCTCCTCCTCCCTCCCCCCCGCGTGGATCTCCGCTGGAGAAGCCTCCGGGAACTCTGGAAGGCCAGGTTCGTCTGTCCCGACGTCGTCCTGGGGCCGGCGGCCCATCGTCGGCTAGTGTCTGTTGAAGACGCACCCCTGGACCTCGCCCGGAAACATGTTTCGCTCGGACTTTCCCGGGTATCGCCCCAGATCGGTTCCCGGGGAACCTGGGGCTTAGAAATGAACCCCGGAGGTCGGAAATCATTACAAGCTTCCTTCCTGGAACCTCGATCTTCGATGGATTGGTCCGCGACGGACGCCGACGACGATTCATGACGACGTCGACGGCGGCGGCGGCGGCGACGACTGTGACGGCGGCGTCGAACACAACGACGACGGCGGCGGCGGCGGTGACGACGACAGCGGCGACGGCGACGACGAAGGCGGCGCCGACACCTGGACATCCGGTGGGAAAGGATCTCTGGACCCCTTCCGGGGCTTGTCCAAGGTCGTCTTTCACCTCGGCTCCGTTCGCGGGGATACTGTGGCCCAGGGACGGGCCTTGGGGCCCGAAATCACACACACAAACTTGTCGAAACTGAATCCTCGACTGGTCGGTCTTCGGCCGACTGCGACGACGACGACAACGACGATGACGACGACGTCGTCTCCGCCGCCGCGTCCGTCGTCCCGGAGGCTGCGCGACCGTCGGTTTTCGGCGGCTGCGACGCGCGGGGCTCGTCGGGGGCCGCCCCTCGGCGCCCGCGGCCCGCGCTGCAGCGCGCGCGGAGACGGCGAGGAGCTACGCCGCGCGAGCTTGCCGACGACGACGACGGCGGCGGCGATGCAGACGACGTCGTCGTCGTCTGCATCTTGGAGGCCTCTGGGCGAATGTTATAAACATGTACGTTTTCCGCAGGGAATGGGGTCATTTTTGCTTCTGCGGGCTCTCTTGGGAGTCCTCTTGGATGCCTCTTGGGCCGTCTTGGGCGGTTTGGGGGGCTGTCTGCGGACCATCTTCGGCTTCCTGGGGGCCTCTTGGAGGCCTCTTGGGAGCCTGTGGGGGGCCTCGTGGGGCATTCTGGATGCTTTGGGGGGCCTTCTTGGGTTCTCCTAGTGCTTTCTTTGGGGAGGAAGGCTGGAAATGTCAGGTCGGGTACCCCCGTGAGCCCTTTCTGGGAGCGGTCCTGGAGCCTTCTTGGGCTGTCTTGGGGTCCTCTAGGTCACTCCGGAACCCCACTTGAGCCGTCTTGGGGCCCTCTTGGAACTCTCTTTGGCCGTTTGGTGCGATCTTGGGGCCCTCTTGGAACTCTCTTTGGCCGTCGTGGCGCGAGCTTGGATACCTCTGGACGAATAGTATAAAAATGCACGTTTTCCGAAGGGAATGGGCCCATTGTTGCTTCTGCGGGCCCTCTTGGGAGTCCTCTTGGATGCCTCTTGGGCCGTCTTGGGCGGTGTGGGAGGGGCTGTCTGCGGACCATCTTCGGCGTCTTGGAGCAACAATTCGGGGATTCTGGGCGTCTGCGGCTGTTTGGAGGCCTCCTGAGGCCTCTTGAGGAGCTGTCTGAACCGTCTCGGATCACCCCCAGAGCCCCCGGTACCCCTATGCCCCCTCGGGGCCGTCGTGCGCGGGTATATATATATATATATATATATATATATATATATATATATATATTCCTGTTCTTATATTTTTACAAGCCCGGGCGGGGGGAAAACCCGGTCCCCCCTCAAAAACCGGACTCCCGGGATCTGGGGTTTTGGCACCCTCCGGACGGGCCTCGAAGCGCCTCCCCGGGCCTCGCAGGGCGTTTTGCCAAGCCTTATCGGAGACGTCCCAGAGACCCCCAAGACAGCACAAGAGCGCTCCAAGAGTGACCGACGTGACCTCAAGATGGCCCAAAAGGCCTCCAGGATGGTCCCAAAGAGGCCTCCAAGAGCACTCCCAAGAAGGCCCCAAGAGGCACATGTAAGTGATGCACGAGAATGATTGCTAATGTCTATCGCCTTCTCGCTCAAGGCACTTTTTTCGGGGAGTCATTCTCTGAATGGCCACAACCCTCGTTGGAGCGGGGGCTCATTGGGCCGCGGCGATCGGCGGCCAGGCGATAGGCACCTGGCTCGGCAGCAGCAGCAGCGGGTGCGACTGCAGCTGCCACTTCGACGCCTCGCCCGACGA